ATTTTATTTCTAAAAAATCACTTTTTTTATTTTTGAAAATCCAAATTTTTATTTTAGAAAAAATATTTAAATAAATCCACGCTTTGCTTAATTATTTTAGAAAAAATGTTTTTAAAAAATCCACGCTTCGCTTTATCACTTTTGAAAAAAATATTCTTAAAAATCCACGCTTTGTTTTATTATTTAAAAAAAAAAATTTAAAAAATCCATGTTTTGTTTTATTATTTTAGAAAAAATATTTTTAAAAAATGCACGCTGTGTTTTATTATTTATGAAAAAATACTTTTAAAAAATACACGCTTCATTTTATTATTTTTGAAAAAAATATTCTTAAAAAATCCACGCTTTGTTTTATTATTTTAAAAAAAAATATTTTTAAAAAATCCACGCTTCCCTTTATTATTTTTGAAAAAAATATTCTTAAAAATCCACGCTTTGTTTTATTATTTTAGAAAAAAAAATTAAAAAATCCATGTTTTGTTTTAGAAAAAATATTTTTAAAAAATCCACGCTATGTTTTATTGTTTTAGAAAAAATATTTTTAAAAAATCCACGCTATGTTTTATTGTTTTAGAAAAAATATTTTTAAAAAATCCACGCTATGTTTTATTGTTTTAGAAAAAATATTTTTAAAAAATCCACGCTATGTTTTATTGTTTTAGAAAAAATATTTTTAAAAAATCCACGCTTTGATTTTTTATTTTTGAAAACATATTTTCAAAAAATCCACATTTTGATTTATTATCTTAAAAAAATATTTTTAAAAAATCTACGTTTTTATATTTAAAAAAAATAATTTAAAAAAATCCACGTTTTGATTTAATATTTAAAAAAATATTTTTAAACAAACCACGTATATTTTGTCTTAAAAAATATTTTTAAAAAATCTACGTCTTTTTTATTTTTGAAAAAATATTTTTAAAAAATCCATTCATTGTTTTGGCTTTAAAAATATTTTTAAAAAATATTCGTTTTGCTTTTTGTATTTTTGAAAAAATATTTTAAATAAATCTTAGCTTTGTTTTAATATTTTTGAAAAAAATATTTAGAAAAACACATTTTGTTTTGGCTTTAAAAATAATTTTAATAATTATATACGATTTATTTGTGTTTTGAAAAAAAAATTAAAAAATCCACATTTAGTTTTTGTCTTTGAAAATGTATCTATAATGAAAATATATTTTTTGTCTTTAAAAAAAGTATTTTTAAAAAAATCACGTTTTGTATTTTTTATTTTTGAAAAATATGTATGATTTTTAAATCTAAATTTTTTTGTAATCCTGAAAAAATAATTTTTAATTTTTATGTTCTAAAAAATCCAAATTTTGTTTTGGCTTTGAAAAAATACTTTTAATTTTTGTCTTTCAAAAAATCCATTTTGTTTCGGCTTTAAAAAAATAATTTTAAAAAATCCACACCTTTTTTTCTTTGAAAAAGTATCTTCAAAATATTGAAAAAATATTTTTTGTCTTTGAAGAAATATTTAAAAAAAATCCACTTCTTATTTTTTTAAATATTTTTAAAAAGAAATCCACATTTTGATTGTTTATTTTTTTCATTGAAAGAGTATCTTCAAAATACTGAAAAAAATTTTTTGGTCTTGGAAAAATATTTTTAAAAAATCTACTTTTTGGCTTTGAAAAATTTAAAAAAAAGACAATGTTTCTTGGCAGACTTTTAAAAAAATTCATGATTTTTTGTTAATTTAAATTTCTTCTTAAAAAAAAACTCTCAAACATTTTACATAGCCCTGTTATGTTTCAATAAAATAATCTCTTATTTTGATCAAATGGCGAAAATGTAAAATAATCTATACGGCGCCTAAAAGTATGCTCAGATGTTGAAAAGTTTTATTTTTGCCAGGCTTAACCCTTAGATAGTATAAAAGAGAAATGATGAACAACTTAGACCCTGAGCTTTTCGAGAATACATTTTCTGGTACCAAACAAAACTTCTACACGGCCTGCCACTTCGAATCCGTTAACCCAGAGAATATTTGTTGAGTAATTATTACCAAAAGTCTATCAGTTCTGAATTAACTACTCTACTCTTGGAATTATATGACTATGATTCCGGACAATTATTTTCATAAAAGTAGCTGCATTTGTGAGAAGAAAGTCTTCCTCGTGCCTAAAGTTTTGAAGAATTTATTTAGCTGCCATATTACCAGAGATATGAGCAAAAAAAGAAGGTGGCTAAAATGGACACCAATTTTGGATCTTTTGCGCCATCGTCTTTCGGAGCCGATAACTCGGGAAATAATAGAAGTATCTTCGTGAAATAAAATTATTTTGAAAGAATAAAAATCTATTTTCAAAATTCCGGGGAAATGTTTGAAAAAATTTTTCGCGAAAGTTTTAAAATCAACGTTTTTGTTAGTATCTGTTTCATACTAGGCAGAACGATTTCATTGAGGGTCCCATTCTTGTGGTCATATCTTCCGACCCCAGACAAATATTTTTAATAAAGGTAGCTAAATTTTAAAGTGGAAGGCCTTCTTCGTTAATATTGTATATCAGAGAATATATATCTGCTAAATTACCCGAGATATGGGTAAAAGAAGAAAGTGACTGAAATGTGCTCAAATTTTGGCTATATTGTGTAATCATCTTGTGGAGGCGATAACTCGGGAAGTAATCGAGGTATTTTCATGAAATAAAATTATTTTGAAAGAATAAATATCTGGTTTTAAAATTCCGGGAAAAGTTTTTAAAAAAATGTTCGCAAAATTATTTAGAGTAAAGTTTTTGAAAGTATCTGTTCCATACTAGGCTGACAGATTTCATTGAGGGTCCCATTCTTGTGGTCATATCTTCCGACCCTGGACAAATATTTTTAATAAAGGTAGTTAAATTTTAAAGCGGTAGATCTTTTTCTTTATGATTGTATTTCAGAAAATATATATATCTGATAAACTACCAGAGATATGGGTAAAAGAAGAAAGTGACTGAAATGTGCTCAAATTTTGGGTATTTTGCGTAATCATCTTGCGGAGGCGATAACTCGGGAAATAATCGAAGTATCTTCGTGAAATAACATGATTTTGAAAGGAAAAGAACATGTTTATAAAGTTCTGAGAAAAAATGTCAATAAAAGATTCTGAAAACATATCGAAATATAATTTTTGTAATGACCATTTTTAAACTAGACTACCAAATTGCATTGATGGTCCCATTCTTGGAGTCATAGCTTCCGACTCTGAACGAATATTTTCACAGAAGTGACAGTTTCTAAAAGAGGGAGGCCTTCCTTGTTAATATTGTATTTCAAATTGTTTTTAGCTACTAAAATACCAGAGATATGGGTAATAGAAGAAAGTAACGGAAATGTACCCAAATTTTGGGTCTTTTGCGTAATCGTCTTTTGGAGGCGATAACTCGGGAAATAATAGGGGTATCTTCATGAAATTAAATTATTTTGAAAGTAAAAGAACATGTTTATAAAGTTCTGAGAAAAAAATTTTAATAAAAAATTCTGAAAAAATTTTGAGAAATAATTTTTTTAAGTATCTGTTTCATACTAGGCTGAACGATTTTATTGAGGGTCCCATTCGTGTGGTCTTATCTTCCGACACAGGATGAATATTTTCATGAAAGTAACTGTATTTTGAAGAGGGAGGTCTTCTTCGTAATCCTGTATTTCAAATTGTTTTTAGCTGCTAAAATACCAGAGATATGGGTAATAGAAGAAAGTGACTGAAATTTGCTCACATTTCGGGTATTTTGCGTAATCATCTTGTGGAGGCGATAACTCGAGAAACAATAGAGGTATCTTCATGAAATTAAATGATTTTGAACGAAAAAAAATATTTGGTTTTAGAATTCTGGGCAAAAGTTTTAGTTTAGCTTATGCAAAAGTTTTGAAATTTAGCTTTTTTTAAGGTTACGTTTCATACTACACTGGTCAATTGCTGTGATAACCGCACTCCTAGGCTCATAACTTCTGACTTCCTACGACTATCATTATGAAATGAGATGAATTTTAAAGAGGGAGATCTTCCACGTTAAGGCAATTTCCAAGAACTAATTTATCTGCCAAATTACCAGAGATATGGGGATATTAATTAAGGTCCCAAAAATTAAGCAATTTTCAAGTTTTTTGGGTAATCGCCTTCCAGAGGCCATAACTTCGGAAATAATTGCAGTAGCTTTGTAAAATAAATTGTTTTGTAAATTGCAGAACCTCCTTTCTTAAAATTAAATACAATTTTGAAATATATTAAATAAAAGGTTCATAACAAAAATATAAAAACAATTGAAACAATTTTTACAAGAGCGTAGAAGTGAATTGAATATCGCACTCTTGGGGTTATAATTTCCGGCACCGACTAGATATCATTATGATAAGCCTAGCCCTTGAAAGCTAAGACCTCTGGGAGTAGGAATGTGTTTCCTTAGATTTTAAATTGCCATATTACCAGAGATATGACCAAATAAAGGCAATTACTTAAATTTAGCAAAATTTTTGGAGTTTTAAGTACTCCCTTTATAGGGGTCATAATTCTGGAAAATGTACCCGTATCTTCATGAAATAAGTGAATTTTGAAAGATTTGTACTTCCGTTTAGCTTCTGCTTTAATTTGTCGAAATCAATTTGCCATGTTGACATCATATTATTGCCTGCTATCTTAACCCATTCTAAAGGTTAGTGTGTCTGATAGTATTTGTTGTCAATGTTTTAGATTTATTATTATTATTATTTTTTTTTTTTTTTTGTAAAAAAAATACAGACACATGTTTATATGTGTATGATCTTGTATTGTATGTATAATTTTTTTTATATATTTTTTTTTTTTTTTTTTTTTTTTTTTGTAAAAAAATAATTAGAAAAATTACAAATATTGAGACATTTATCGTCAAAAGTTACTTCCATTTTTTTTTTTTGAAATAAAAACAATTGTTCCCACATGTCATAAATATAAAAATTTATCAATTATGGGGTCGAACGCAAGCGTCTCAACATTATTTATAATATTGCCAAATTATTTTTTTTTCAAAAAATGGCCTGCGAATATCTTCATAATCTAAAAATATAGATTATGGCATAAAATTGGTCATCGATGTGATCTCATGTTGAGGGGGGCCGATCCATTGCAAATCACACAATCAAGCTACCTTAACTACCCAAAAATTCTCACCCATTTCCTTAGCCTAGCTTCAGCTTCTTATCACTTTTTTCCCCCAATGTCGACAAGACAAGAACAAATTCAATTATAAAAAGCAATATTTTATCCCCAGTCTTAACTAGTACTTAACGAACTTTACTTGCGTAAAGAGCTTTAAACGCGTTCAGAAATCAGAAAACGAAAATGAAAATTATTTATCTGCTAGTTGTCATTTGGGCATCAGCAAATGCGGTTCAAAGTCATTTGGCCATAGCCCACAGTGATGTGAGTGAGAAAAAATATTTAAAAAAAATATTAACAAAAAAAAAACAAAATAAAAATCTAAATAAAATTAATTTTATAAAATAAAAATTATTTCTTTAGGATCCCATACCGGAACATAATAACGCCGGTCTCTGGAGTGTCCTGTATGCCAAGTTAAATGTGCTGTTAAACGAGACATCGGTATTGAGAGAAAATATTGCAGAGCTAAGGCAAAAGTAAGTGAATTGACGGAGAAAATTCTCCGCAAGCTTTCTCTCTTCAAAGAGAAGAAACAATCCTTGATAGAGGAAAATTAAAAAAAAAACCCTGATTGTGTTTTATATTTATTCTGAAAATTTTAGGCAGCATGATCAGGAAACCAATGTGGCTACGATGGTGCAGAGCTTTAAACAGGAAGCGAATAAGTTCATAGAAAACAGCATAACGAAACTCAGAGAAAGGTAAGAAGTATGGAAAAATATATTTTTAAAAAATCCACTTTTAATAATAGACCTTCAAAAAAATGTTTTTAAAAAATTCACTTTTATAGGAGGACCTTCAAAAAATAATTTTAAAAAATTCAATTTTAATAATAGACCTTTAAAAATTCACTTTTAATAATAGACCTTTAATAAATATTTTTAAAAAATCCAAGACCCAAATTAGAAACCCTCAAAAACTATTTTTAAAAAATTAACTTTTAATAATAAACCTTTACATAATTCACTTTTAATAATAGACATTTAAAAAATATTTTTAAAAAATCCAAGTCTATGGACGGACCTTTCAAAAAATATTTAAAAAACACGTTTACGGGAAGACCTTGAAAAACTAATTTAAATCAATTCAAGTTTATGGCAGGACATTAAAAAATATTTTTAAAAAAAATCCCCTTTTAATAATAGACCTTCAAAATAAAATTTTATAGAATCTAGGTTTTTGTGAGGACCCTAAAAAATATTTAAAAAAAAATGCCTTCAGAAAATATTTTTAAAAAATCCCTTCAGAAAATATATTTAAAATATCCCTTCAGAAAATATATTTTTATTATGGGAGCACCTTTAAAAATATTTTCAAAAAATCGCTTCAGAAAAGATTTTTAAAAAATCCCTTCAGAAAATATTTTTAAAAAATCCCTTCAGAAAATATATTTTTATTATGGGAGGACCTTCAAAAACTCTTTTTTAAAAAATCCACGTTCATAGGAGGACCTTCAAAAACTATTTTTTAAAAATCCACTTTTATAAGAGGATCTTCAAAAACTAGTTTTTAAAAATCCACTTTTATAAGAGGATCTTCAAAAACTAGTTTTTAAAAATCCACTTTTATAAGAGGATCTTCAAAAACTAGTTTTTAAAAATCCACTCTTATGGGAGGATCTTCAAAAACTATTTTTTAAAAAAATCCTCGTTTATGGAAGGGCCTTCAAAAAAATATTTTTTAAAAAATTCACGTTTATGGAAGGACCTTCAAAAAATATTTTTATAAAGTCCACGACCTTCAAAAAATATTTTTAAAAAATTCAGATTTGTGGAAGGATATTCAAAAAATATTTTTAAAAAATTCAGGTTTGTGGAAGGATATTCAAAAAATATTTTTAAAAAATTCAGGTTTGTGGAAGGATATTCAAAAAATATTTTTAAAAAATTCAGGTTTCTGGAAGGATATTCAAAAAATATTTTTTAAAAATTCAGGTTTGTGGAAAGATATTCAAAAAATATTTTTAAAAAATTCAGGTTTGTGGAAGGATATTCAAAAAATATTTTTAAAAAATCCACGCCTATGTTGGACATTAAAAAAATATTTTTAAAAAATCCACGCCTATTTTGGACATTAAAAAAAAAAATTTTAAAAAATCCACGCCTATGTTGGACATTAAAAAAAATATTTTTAAAAAATCCACGCCTATTTTGGACATTAAAAAAAAAATTTTAAAAAGTCCACGCCTATGTTGGACATTAAAAAAAATATTTTTAAAAATACACGCCTTTGTTGGACATTAAAAAAAAATATTTTTAAAAAATCCACGTTTATGTAAGGGGATCTTTAAAAATATTTTTTAAACACCCCCGTTTATGGAAAGACCCTTCAAAAATATTTAAAAAAAAAACCGTTTATAGATTGACTTTCAAAAAATCCACAATTATGGTTTGTCCCTAAAAAACATTTCTTAAAAAATCCACATTGATCGCTGGTCCTTAAAAAATATTTCTAAAAAAATCCACGTTTATCGCTGGTCCTTAAAAAAAACTTTTTAAAAAATCCACTTCTGTAGAAAGACTTTCAAAAAATATTTTTAGGCAAAACGTGGACCTTCAAAAATATTTTTTTTTTTAAATTAGAATGATTATTTTTTTAATATTTCATCCTCAAAAATATGTTCCCATTTGTTGCAGACATTCCGTGGATGAATCTCGTATTCTACGTCTCGTTGATAATGTTTCTTCGGAGTCTAAAGAATTCCTCCAAGCGGGTCTCATGGAATTGCAAAAAAGGTAATTTTTCTGCTCTCTAATTTTCGATTCTCTTCTTTTCTCTACTTTTTGTGGCTTTTTCCCCTCCAGACAAGATCAGCAAGAGGAGAATATTGGTAATCTCATTGAAACGGTAACCCTGAAAGTCCAAAAATCTATGGAAGAAAATTTGCGAGGGCTGGAAAAAAGGTGAGTTGTGGGGTTTCAACAGATCCATGAGAGCCCATTAATTGAAACCTATGGCATCTATATTTGTATTTTTTTGGTTTAGGTTTGATGACCAGGAGATGCTGGTTAAAAATATTGTGGAAGCCGTTACAATGAATACCAAGAAATACATGGAAGAAATCAAGGAGGAATTGGGGAAAAGGTAGGAGATCCAAATGGATCGAAAATTTAATTGAGTCTAAAATTGTGTATGAAATTTTGAAAATCCTTTTTTCAAATATTTTTTGAATTAATCCCATTTTTTTAGACAAGAACTGGGAGTGGATCGCTTTGTGCAGCTCATTGAGAATATCTCCGCAAATACCAAAGATTTGCTGGAATCGGGCTTTTCGGACCTAAAAAATAGGTAAAGAAATTATATTCCAGTTCGGGAATGAAAATATATTTTTTTTCAATTCCTCTGTCTCCCCCCTTCCAGACAAGACGATCAAGAGGAGAAGCTTGCCAGCATAATGCAGGAAGTCAAAATACAAACCCAACAATCGATGGCAGCCAACATGGCAGAGCTAGAAAAGAGGTAAATTCGATCTCCAAGGGATATCCAAGAATGGATTAATAGATTTGATTTGTCTTTCTGTAGACTTGATAATCAGGATGTCCAGGTGGCCAATTTAATCGATTCGCTAAGAAAAGATTCTCAAAAATACACGGAAGGTGGCTTTGAGGAAATACGACAAAGGTAAGAGATTTGAAGGGGAAGAGAAGGCCCTGGGGGTTTTTCTACTGTGGAAAACGGAAGGTTTATATTCCTCTGATAAAAGAAAAATAAGTTTAACATTAAAAAAACAACAAAAAAAATATAAAAAAATTAAATATTTAAATTAAATTAAAACACATTTTTTTTTATTTTTTTATTTAATTTTTAAATTTTATGCTACCTCTACTCATGCTCCGCTTTTTTATTTTTTTACAATAGAATCCAGGATCAAGAAGGCCGCGTGGTGCTGACTCTCCAAAATGCCACAGAAGAGGCCCAGAAATTGATGGATGCCAGCCTGGAGGGGGTTAAACAGAGGTAAGGTTACCTGAAAACTATTTTCAAAATCCCATTTTCAAAACTTCTTTTTTCAAATTTTATTTTTTTTTCTTCAGATTCAATAAGCTGGAGGAGAGGTAAGCCTGTCCGCCTTTTAAATTATAATCCCATGCCCTCATTTTTGCCTTTCATTTCCAGCCAAAATACCCAACATGACCTGTCGCTGCAAATTCTCGAGTATACCACCCCCAAGCCTTACTCGTTTAAAGAAACCGCCGACATAATCTCCCTCAATCAACATCGTGAATGGATGACAATTTCGCGACGTCTGGATGGTTCGGTAGCCTTCGATTTGGGTTGGGAAGATTACAAAACCGGTTTTGGCAATCCAAATGGTGAATTTTTCTTGGGCCTGGAAAAGCTGCATGCCCTTACCACCTATGGGGCGACCCAAGAATTGTTGGTCGTACTCAAAGATCATCAGAATCAAACACGTTATGCCAAATATGATATTTTCCGGGTGGGCAGTGAGCTGGAAAACTACGCCATTTTGGAGTTGGGCTATTATAGCGGAGATGCTGGTGATTCGTTGCGCTATCATGCCGGGGCCTCATTTGTTACCAAAGATAATAACAATGGTGGTAATTTCCCAGCAGAACGTGGTGGCGGCTGGTGGCGTTCCGTGCAATCAATGTGGTGAGTAAAAATAGGGGGAGAGAGAAAGAGAGAGACCCATAGAGAGTGGGAGAGAAATAATTCTTTGTAATATTGTCTTTTCAGTGATCTACATTCGTACTATGAGCCGGTGGACAATGTTTATGGCATTTTCTGGGGCACATGGAATGGCTGGAAATACACTCTGAAATCGGCAGAGATGATGATACGATCCAAGGCATAAAATTTGTTATTTTTATAAAAAAAAAATTAATAAATGAATAATATAAAGCAAAATGTTTAAAAAATTAAATAAATGACACTTTTTTGATAATATGGTTAAAAACTCGACTTAAACGAAATCTTAGCACCATAAAATATTCTACAAAATTATTTGTCATAAAATTCTACTATAGGTTCTAGAAGACATCAAAAGTCTAAAATTTACCTAAACGCCAGGAATTTCATATTTCACCACAAACACATTTTAGGGTTAAAGTTGTACTTTATGTGAATTTATGCCCAAATCTCCTAGAAAACATTATTTTAGAAAAATGATGTCAAAGAAAAAAATATTCCTCACCAAATTTTACTAAAAGTCACCAAAGAAAGGAAATCTCTATGTCCATTGTATATCGAAAAAAAACATCGGTTCCAAAAAACCTGAAAATATTTCTTAATTTTTTTTAACAAATTTTCTTGGGCGTTTTTTCGAGTTGACGCCTGAAAGTAACATAAAATTTCATTTCAGCCCAAAAGTGTCAAAAGCAGAAATATTCTATACAAAATTTCACGACAAATCTCAGAATATACCACATCTATAGGTACAATAGTTTTTAAGGCAATAACATTCGAAATCTCCGAGCTACAACCAAAAAAATAATGTGTTTATTGTGTATACACTATGAATTAAACACGTTTCCAAACCAAGTCCAAATCTCCCATTATACTTCATTTTTTGGAAAAAGTGTCAAAGGAAGAATTATTCTAGACCGAATTTTATGGTGACCTCCAAAACAAAAGAAATTTCTAAAATCAAGACGTAGCATGGAAAAATATTATCAAAAAAATAAATAAAAATATCAGCAGTGCTAAATTTTTCAGAAACAACAGTTTTTTTTATTAACAAAAGTTAATCATATTTTTTCATGATACATATTGAACGTACAAATTTCTTTTGTTCAGAGACCCGCAATGAAATTTGATCTAGAATAATTCTTCCTTTAATACCATCCCCAAAAAATGAAGTATAAAGGGAGATTTTGACTCAGATAAAAACAATATATATAAATGACCAGATAATAACGAAGATACATAATTTCCACTTTTAAAATATGAAATACAAATATGATTTTCTTCAAAATTATTATACCTAGGTATATGGTCTGTTCTGAAATTTTTAGTGAAATGTTGTCTAGAATATTTCTTCTTTTGATACCATCTGCCTAAAACTACATTTTAGGCTACTTTAAGGCTAAAACTCGAAAAAAAAAAGTCTAAGGAAAAAATGATGAAGAAATTAGAGAAAACTTACTCGTATTATTTTTAATGCAAATATTTTCTTGATATAAAATGAAAATAGAGATTTTCTTTCTTTGGTGACTTATAGTGAAATTCGATGGAGAACATTTCTTCCTTTGGCAACTTCCCCAAAAAACGATGTATTAAGGGAGATTTTGACTTAGAATGGAAACATGTTAGATAAACACCAAAAAAACGTAAACACATAATTTTCACTTGTAATATATAAATTTCGAATCGTATTTTCTCAAAAACTATTAAACCTAGATAAATGGTTTCTTCTGAGATTTATAGTGAAATTTTGTGTAGAATATTTCTTCTTCTGACATTTTCTGCCTAAAGTGAGTCCATATGTTACTTTCATGCATCAACTCGAAAAAAGGTCGAGGAGCAATTGATCAAAAAATTAAGAAATATATTCGCGTTCCTTTTTTTGGCAACATTGATGCATATATTTTCCTGATATATAATGAAAATAGAGTTTTCCTCTGTTTAGTGACTTATAGTGAAATTTCATGAGGAATAATTCTGCCTTTGACATCTTCCTCAAAAAATGGTGTATTAACTGAGATTTTGACTTAGAATTGAAACGTGTTTAATTAACAGCAAAAAATTCTAAACAAAAAATTTTCACTTGTAATATATGAATTTCGAATGGTATTTTCTCAAAAACCATTAAACCTAAATAAATGGTTCCTTTTGAGATTTATAGTGAAATTTTGTCTAGAATATTTCTTCTTTTAACGTTTTCTGTCTAAAGGGAGTCCATATGTTACTTTCATGCATTAACTCGAAAAGGGTTGAAGAGAAATTGATCAAAAAGTAAAGAAATTTGTTCGCGTTCCTTTTTTGGCAACATTGATGCATATATTTTCTTGATATATATTGGAAATAGAGATTTTCTTTCTTTGGTGGCTTATAGTGAAATTTGATGAGAAATAATTCTGCCTTTGACATCTTCCTCAAAGAATGATGTATTAATGGAGATTTTGACTTAGAATTGAAACGTGTTTAATTGACAGCAAAAAACTTAAACAAAAAATTTTCACTTGTAATATATAATTTTCGAAGGGTATTTTCTCAAAAACCATTAAACCTAGGTGAATGGTATCTTCTGAGATTTTTAGTGAAATTTTGTGTAGAATATTTCTTCCTTTCAGATTTTCTGCCTAAAGTGAGTCCATATGTTACTTTCATGCATCAACTCGAAAAGGGTTGAAGAAAAATTGATCAAAAAGTTAGGAAATATTTTCGCGTTCCTTTTTTGCCCACATTGATGCATATATTTTCTTGATATATAATGGTAATAGAGATTTTCTGTCTTTGGTGACTTATAGTAATATTTGATGGGGAATAATTCTGCCTTTGACATCTTTGCCAAAAAACGATGTATTACGGGAGATTTTGACTTAGAATTGAAAAGTGTTTAACTAACATCAAAAAACGTAAACACATAATTTTCACTTGAAATATTTAAAATTCGACCGCAATTTTCTTAAAAAACTATTAGGTCTCGACGAATTGTTTATTCTGAGATTTATATTGAAATTTTATGAAGAATATTTCTTTCTTTGCGACTTTCCACCTTAAACGAAGTGATGTGTTACTTTCATGGATCAACTCGAAAAAAGGTTAAGGAGAAATTGATGAAAAAATTAGAAAATATTTTCGCGTTCCTTTTTTTGGACACATTGTTGCATATATTTTCTTGATATATAATGAAAATAGAGATTTCCTCTCTTTGGTGAATTATAGTGAAATTTGATGAGGAATAATTCTGTCTTTGACATCTTACCCAAAAAACGATGTATTAAGGAAGATTTTGACTTAGAATTGAAACGTGTTTAATTAACAGCAAAAAATTCTAAACAAAAAATTTTCACTTGTAATATATGAATTTCGAATGGTATTTTCTCAAAAACCATTAGACCTAGATAAATGGTTTCTTCTGAGATTTATAGTGAAATTTTATGAAGAATATTTCTTTCTTTGCGACTTTCCACCTTAAATGAAGTGATGTGTTACTTTCATGCATCACCTTTAAAAAAAGCAAGGAAAAATTTACCAAAAAAAATAGGAAATATTTTAGCGTTCCTTTTTTGTCTACATTGATGGATATATTTTCTGGATATATAATAAAAATAGAGATTTTCTTTCTTTGGTGACTTATAGTGAAATTTGATGAGGAATAATTCTGCATTTGACATCTTTCCCAAAAAACGATGTATTAAGGGAGATTTTGACTTAGAATGGAAACATGCAACGCTATCTTATTTTGACGACGACAGACGGAAGTGTTGCCCAAGTTATTTTATACGGCATTTCATAGAACACCCCGCACGTATCGACTTGAAGAGAGGAGGAAATATTCCTACAGTGACAAACGATCAACCAACCGAACGATTTTAAAACGTTGGGCGCCACTGGTATTTGGAGTTTGGAAACAAAAAATCAAAGTCCCGTGGAATGAGAAGAATGAAAACCAATTGAGATATTGGGGATATCTGTATGACCTACGCCAAGACAAGTTGAAAAACGTTGGGCGCCACTGATACGCAAAGATTAGAAACAAGAGTGAAAGTAAAAAATGACAATGAGTTCTTTGCCATGGTTAGAAGGTCCTCCGAGGACATTTGTCTAACCTCTGGCTAAATTGCGAAACGTTGGGCGCCAATGGCATGTAGTGTTTAGAAATAAGAAGTTGTATACCCTTGGTTTTAATGAAGAAGAAGAGACTTTCAGTTATTTGCCATGGTTTGGATGGTCCCTCGAAACAATTTTTTGTAACCTTCGCTCAGGTTCAAAAACGTTGGGCGCCACTGTTATGTGGAATTTAGAAAAAAATTATTTAAAGCCCCCTGGAATTAAGAGGAAGAAAACACTTAAAAATCTTTACTATGAGTTGGAGATTGGGAAATGTTGGGCGCCAGATGGAAAAACGTTGTACACCATTGGTACGTAAATTTTAAAAACAAGAGTGAAATGAAGAATTTTCTTCGTCCGTATGAGCTTTTGCCATATTCCGAGACGTAGGTCGTCAGATGAAAAAACGTTGGGCGCCGTTGGTACGTAAAACTTAGAAACTGGAGTAAAAGGAAATACGAGGCTCGACTAAAAGGTCCATCGGAGACTTCTGTTCGATCTTTTGGAGGTCCTTTTAAAAACTAATTTTTTATTTATTTTTTTATTAATTTATTATTTTTATTTTTTTATTTTTATTTATTTTTTATTATTTTATTTATTTTTTATTTTTTTTTATTTATTTATTTATTTTTTTTTATTTTTTTTTTATTATTTTTATTTATTTTATTTATTTTTTTATTATTTATTTATTTTTTTTTATTTTATTTTTTATTTATTTATTTATTTATTTTATTTATTTTTTTTTTTTTTGATAAAATACCCTCATAAGTCGTCTGCGAAAACTAGAGGAGCTTTTGCTATTTTCTTCATCGAAAACACCCTAAGGCCTTCTCATCCAACACCTCACCCAATCACAGCTCTGACCTCATCTATTTGTTTCATGCTATTAATAAAACCTAAATAATAATATTAGCCAACTGGAACGCCACACAATAAATATCGAACGTCCCGCCTCGCCAATTATTTATAACGCATAATTTTCAATATAATCAATAATTGAAAATTTATGAGCAAATAAAATTAAATCACGAGCATTTCAAAATGCTCGCTATATTTTTGCACAAATTCTAAATTTTAGGGTTTGTTTTTTTAAAAAACTCATTCAATCTGTGCAAAAATGCCTTTATCGCCACTCGGTGGTGACATTTTCTAGGCGTTTTTTGTCATTATTAAAACGATAATAATTATAATTTATATCATCGCGTTGGTAGTGGCGTAAGCCTCTAGAAATGAAGTGGTGATTCAAAATATTGTTGAGATTAGTTATTGGTGTTGGGGATTGGAAAATGAGAAGGGAATTCCTTTGGAGGTGAGCTGGCACAAGATCTCGGGCCTATTCGAAATAATTTTAAAAATAATATTTTTTTTCAAATTCTGGTTTTTTTCTACAAAGCCCTATGGGAGGTATTTTTTAAAAATCTAAATGTGGAAAATATTTTTAGAATTTATTATTTTATTTTATTTTTTAATTAAATTGAAAAACGTTGGGCACTTTCAATTCTTTGCCATGGCTAGAAGGCTTTTTGATAAATTTTGTATGATATCCAACAAAATTGAAAAACGTTGGGCGCCACTTTTACGAAAAGTTTAGAAACATGAAGTCGACGACTTCTGGATTGAAGGAAAATGAGAAAATGGAGATAGAACAATGAAAAGGGAATTCCTTTGGAGGTGAGCTGGCACAAGATGGCGAATCATGGGCCTATTCAAAATAATTTTAAAAATAATATTTATTTCAAATTCTGCCTTTTTTCTACCAGACCTATGGGAGGTATTTTTTTTAAATCTACCTGTGAAAAATATTTTTAAAATTTATATATTTTTCTTCATTTTTTATTTGGGTGGTGCTACGTTGGGCGCCACTGGCACGTGGAGTTTAGAAAATTTTTGATAAATTTTGTATGCTATCCAAGAAAGTTGAAAAACGTTGGGCGCCACTGTTACGAAAAGTTTCGAAACATGAAATCCACGACTTCTGGATTGAAGGAAAATGAGAAAATGGGGATAGAACAATGAAAAGGAAATTCCTTTGGAGGTGAGCTGGCACAAAATGGCCAATCATGGGCCTATTCGAAATAATTTTAAAAATAATATTCTTTTTCAAATTCTGTCTTTTTTCTTCCAGACCTATGGAAAGTATTTTTTAAAAATTTAACTGTAAAAATATTTTAAAATTTTTTTTCTTCATTTTTTTTTTTAATTAAATTTTTGTTGGGTGGTGCTACGTTGGGCGCCACTGACACGTGGAGTTTAGAAAAGAGAATTCGAAGGCTCTTGAATTTAATGAAAAGAAGGCACATTCAATTCTTTGCCATGGCTAGAAGGCTTTTTGATAAATTTTGTATGCTATCCAACAAAGTTGAAAAACGTTGGGCGCCACTGTTACGAAAAGTTTAGAAATATGAAGTCGACGACTCCTGGATTGAAGGAAAATGAGAAAATGGGGATAGAGCAATGAAAAGGAAATTCCTTTGAAGGTGGGCTGACACAATATGGAGAATCATGTAGCTATTCGAAATAATTTCAAAAATAATATTTTTATTATTTTTTTTTTTTTTTAAATTATTTCAAAAATAATATTTTTTTTAAATTCTGTCTTTTTTCTACCAGACCTATGGGAGGTATTTTTTTTTTTTTTTAATCTACCTGTAAAAATATTTTTAAAATTTATTATTTTAATTTTCTTTTATTTTTTATTATTTACTTTTTATTATTTATTTATTTATTTATTTTTGGTGGCGGTAAAATAATAATTTTTTTCATATTCTGCCTTCTTTCTACCAGATCTATGGGAGGTATTTTTTTTTTAATCTACTTTTAATTTTTTTTATTTTTTAATTAAATTTTTGTTGGGGTCGTGCTAGGCATGTAATTTTTTTTAGATTCCACCTTTATGTCCCTCTGCAGACCTCGGACATTCCAACAGGACTCAGCACCATCGCACTCAGCACGTGCCAGCACCCAAGAATGGTCAAAAAATGAGGTCCTCGCTTCATTTCCAGTGCCCATTGGCCACCAAAATCTCCGGATACCAATCCATGGGACTATTGTGTCTGGAGTTCTGGATTTTGGAAAGCAAGGTTGGCACTAAAAAATACAAACACGAGAATGGGCCAAAATACCGCTGAGCAACATTCGGGCAGCGTCTGACGGTTTCATTGGCCGTTTGAAGGCCATAATTCGTGCCAAAGGTGACCAATTCGAACAAATCTAAACTTATTCTAAGATTTGATGCTATTTCCGACATTTTTGGCTTTCATTCAATAAAATTTAAAAAAAAAATCAGGTAAAAAACTGTAATTTTGGCCGGACCGAACTTTGAACGATTCTGGCAATTCTCAAAACAATAAAATTTAAAAATTCTGTTAAAATCTTAAAAATACCGAATGTAGCTGTTATTTTAGGGTCTATACGACGACATGGACCTGCAAAGGTAACATTTGTCATTTACCATTACAGTATTCAAATGCTAAACTTAAAAAAATCGTTAATAATGAAGCTAAAATCATCAAAATACCGATGATGCTGTTATATGGGGGCTATACGGAGACGTGGACCTGCACAGACAATTTTCTGTCTTAGGCTGTAGTATGTATTGCGAACTTCAAATACCAAATTTGAAACAATTCCGGTAAATAATGTCGCTAAAATTATAAAAATACCGAATATCGGGAGATACCCTTATATGGGGGCTATACGAAAACGTGGACCTACATGGTCCATTTTCAATACCAAAAGTCCTGCAGACATAACATACATTTGAGTAAAATTTTATCAATCTACTTCCACTCGTTCGGAAGCTAGAGTGAATTCTACAGACGGACGGACATCGCTAAATCGCCATAGAATTTTATGCTGATCAAGAATATATATACTTTGTGTGGTCTAAAATGTATATTTCGAGGTGTTACAAAAGGAATGACAAACTTAATATACCCTCCATGCTATGGTGAAGGGTATAAAAAATTTAAAAATTATAACGTTTGTCTTTGTTGCATTTTTTTTTATATCACCCTGTATTAGAGGAACATTTTTCAAAGAGGAAGAAAGAATTTCTTGCTAAGCTTTTAAAAATATTTTTTTTTTTTCAAAAATTCCTCTTTTCTTGTTAGGCTTTTAAAAATTAATATTCCTCGTTTTTTTGCTAAGCCTCTAAAAATGGTGAACAAAATACAGGTCGCATTTATTATCTAATTGTGATTAAATTTTCCAAACGATATTTGTTTTGCCCAAGGACGAATTCTATTGAAATTGCTGAGAATGATCTGCATTTTGTCACATCCGACCGAATTTAGTCTAGAAGTACATTCAAATTTGATGAAAATAAATTTGCACCAAAGTTGTATTGCCAGATCAGCTGTTATCTTACAATTGTTTTCATGGCAGAAGAATACAGGTAGATGCATCAACGCTTGGGAGCATTTATATGTCAAAAAAATTTAAATGTTTTTTTTTTTTTTTAAATATAAGTAGATTTTTATATGTTTTTTTATACTACGTTATTCGGAGGCTATTATAATTTGTGTATTTTAACAATTTTTCCAAATTTAAATAATTTTTCATTCAACTTTTTCAATTCCAAAAGCGGTTTGGCCAGCAGCTGCGTCGACGCGTCTACCTATATTCATCTACCATGATTGTTTTGCATGATGCTGTTTGTTTACTTTTTACAGTTTTTACTCTCGAGAGGGAGAGAAGAAATCATTTCTCTGTGTTTTTTTTTCTCAGTCATTTCTTACTGAGTAAATGTCACTGGGAGAGTAAAACCAACGAAACTAATTTATGGACATCAAATAAGAATTAAATTGTAATCCTGCCGCTTTTTTTTAAAAAAAAACCTGTAGCTGCTTCTATTCCCATCCGAATCCAGAGAAAGCAGGTGGTTCAATGAAATTTATTTTTAATAATGTCTCTATTTTCGGTTCCATCTAGTTTTTAAGGCATTTGAAGTAGCTGGCGCTTTAAACGATAACAACACAATCAAAGTCCTACAATTAATTGGAACACTTAAATTAGTGTTCATCATAAATCCTATAAAGATTATCAATGTTCGGACACTTGACATCTAGAACAACAACAACAATGAAATCATGGTATGACGAAGGGGCACCACCATCCGAGGGTCTCAATACATCATATGGGCCAAAATAAAACTATGATGTTTGTAATATTCAACATTTTTTTTTTTTTTTTTTTTTGGAGAAAGTGAACATTGCCAGAATTTCCCATCAGCCAAGAAAAAAGCTCCCGAAGAAAAGCTCCTGGAAACATTTACTTTTTCGCTTTTCTTCCATCATATCTACGACACGAGTGATGATGTCAACGAAGTAACGATATCAGTTGACACTAAAATAATGATCATATTTAATAAATTTTTGTTGTTACTGTTCTTATTGGTTTTAACCAAAAATTTTGTGTCGCTGATATAAATATCTTCGAACACATTCAATTATTTGCCAGTACAACTTGAATTTGAAAAGGTGAAACATTCAGATAGATATTTTCCGCTAAAGGAAGCCGAAACCGCAAAGAGAGCATAAACGAAGCAGCCAAAGAAAGAGAGGAGAAAAATGAAATTGCTAACAATTTTTCTAATTTTTTATGTCGCACATCGTGGGGCCTCAGAAGATAATTCGGCTTTGACGGTGAGTTGGAAAAAAATTAAATAGAAAATAATCAATATTTTGACGTTTAGACAACATTTCAATCTCTTTCAAAATCCACTTGAATTGGAAATCCTTTGGAAAAAATATAAATAAAAACCAGTAAGGAAAGGTCAAAATTCAGGCAGGGCCGACTATAAGGACATTAAAAAAATATTTTTAAAACACCCACGTTTATGTAAGGAGGTCTTTAAAAATATTTTTTAAAACACCCACGTTTATGTAAAGAGGTCTTTAAATTTTTTTTTTTAAAATCTATGTTTATAGGAGGACCTTCAGAAAATATTTAAAAAAAATCGTGTACGGAAGACTTTTAGAAAAATATTTAAAAAAAAATTCGTGTATGGGAGACTTTAAAAAAAATATTTTTAAAAAATCCACGTTTATAGGAGGATCTTCAAACAATATTTAAACAAAATCGTGTATGGAAGACCTTGAAAAAAATATTTAAAAAAAAAAGTTTCGTGTGTGGAAGACCTTTAAAAATATATTTTTAAAAAATCCACGTTTACAGGACGACCTTCAAAAAATATTTAAAAAAAATCGCGTATGGAAGACTTTTAAAAAAATATTTAAAAAAAATTTCGTGTATGGGAGACTTTAAAAAAATATATTTTTAAAAACTCCACGTTTATAGGAGGATCTTCAAACAATATTTAAAAAAATCGTGTATGGAAGACCTTTACAAAAAATATTTAAAAAAAAAAAATCGTGTGTGGAAGACCTTTAAAAATATATTTTTAAAAAATCTACGTTTACAGGAGGACCTTCAAAAAATATTTAAAAAAATTGCGTGTATGGGAGATATTTTTAAAAAATCCACGTTTATAGGAGGATCTTCAAACAATATTTAAAAAAATCGTGTATGGAAGACCTTTAAAAAATATTTAAAAAAAAATCGTGTATGGAAGACCATTAAAAAAATATTTTTAAAAAATCCACGTTTATGGAAAGGACTTTAAATTTTTTTTTTTAAAAATCCACTTTGACGGAAAGACCTTGAAATAAAAATTTTAAAAAATCCACGTTTATGGAAAGTTCATTAAACATTTTTTTAAAAAATCCAGTTTGACGGAAAGACCTTGAAATAAAACTTTAAAAGAAAATCCACGTTTCTGGGATAAGTTTAAAAAAATATTTTTGTAAAATCCATGTTTATGGGATAACTTTAAAAAAATATTTTTAAAAAATCCACGTTTCTGGGATAACTTAAAAAAAAATATTTTTAAAAATCCACGTTTTTGGGATAACTTTAAAAAAAAATATTTTTAAAAAATCCACGTTTATGGGATAACTTTAAAAATCCATTTTAAAAATCCACTTTGATGGAAAGACCTTGAAATAAAATTATTAAAAGATCCACGTTTATGGAAAGGCCTTTAATATTTTTTAAATCCTTTTTGTGGAAAGATCTTGAAATAAAATTTTTTAAAAATCCACGCTTATGGGATAACTTAAAAAAAATATTTTTAAAAAATCCACGTTTATTTAAGGACCTTCAAAAAATATTTTTAAAAAATCCACGTTTATGGGATAACTTTAAAAAATATTTTTAAAAATCAACGTTTAAAGGATAACTTTAAGAAAAATATTTTTAAAAATCCACGCTTATGGGATAACTTTAACAAAAATATTTTTAAAAAAATCCACGTTTATGGGATAACTTTAAAAAAATATTTTTAAGAAATCAACTTTGATGGATAGATCTTAAAATAAAATTATTAAAAAATCAACTTTGATGGATAGATCTTGAAATAAAATTATTAAAAAATCCACGCTTATGGGATAACTTTAAAAAAATATTTTTAAGAAAACCACGTTTATGGGATAACTTTAAAAAAATATTTTTAAAAAATCCACGTTTATGGAAAGGCCGTCATATTTTTTTTAATTCTTGAGATTTTTTGGGCTTTAAATGTTGTTTCTCAAAATCGATTTCATATCCAATCGAAAATATTTATTTTTCTCAATTTTTTTTCTTAGGATCCCGTAGCCGAGGACAATGAAGATGTGTTGTGGCATGTCCTCTACTCAAAGTTGAATTTGATAATGAACGTTACGGATATGATGAGCCACACTGTGTATGATTTACAACAAAGGTATTATATTTTGATTAATTCCATTTTGCAACGAATTGATATTTTTGTTGTGTTTTAGGCAACGCGAACAGGAGGATCGTACCATGAATTTAATGGAGACCCTCAATGCAAATGCCAAAAAGTACATGGATGAACAATTCATGGAGTTGGCAGAGAGGTAAGGATATAATTTCTTTTTTTTTTTTTTTGGTCTGGTAGTCCTTCTATCAAAAAAAAAAAAAAAAAAAAAAAAAAAACGCCGACAATTGCCTAAAAGTTATTAGTCTTCAACTGAAACACATTGCCCTAATACCCTTCTCAGTTAGAGCATGGAAAATATTTTCAAATTATCTATTTTTTTATATTTTTATATTCCTATCTATTTTATTTTTTATATTCCTATGACTCCTTAAAAAAATCTCCTTTAATAACATATTTGATTGACTTCCAATTTTCTTTACAGACAGAGCACCCAGGATTCCAAACTATCGCATCTGGTTGAAAAAATAGATGATTACTTTTCTGAAACCAGCAAAAGGTAAAGAGATTATTATTTTCATTTAATGGAAAACTTAATTTAAATTACTCTTCTCTTTTTCAGATTTGATGAGCTGGCCTCAAGGTATGTGTGCCACAGAAGAATTTTTCGGTTTGCAAATTATAAAAAATTTTGTAATTTTTCATTTCACCTCCGAACAGGCAAGACAGCCAGGAGAACCTAATTGTGAACATATCAAATCAAACCCAAGCCTGGACAACAGTTTTACGGCGCCAAGACGGCTCTGTTGATTTCTATCGTAAATGGGCCGATTACAAGGCCGGGTTTGGTAATCCACCGGAAGGGGAATTCTTTATTGGTCTGGATAATCTACATGAACTCACGTCCCGTGAACCCATGGAACTTTTGGTGGTTATGCGTGAATGGGGTGGTGATATGGTCCATGCCCATTATGATCTCTTCCGGGTGGGTAGTGAAGAGGAGAAATATGCCATTAAAGTTGTGGGCAATTATAGCGGTGATGCCGGCGATGGCATGGAATATCATCTTGGCATGCCATTCTCAACATATGATCAGGATAATGATGACTCGACGCGAAATTGTGCCAGCTATTTTAGAGGTGCATGGTGGTTTAAATCGTGCTATGCAAGGTAAGATTTGAAATTTACAATATTGGAGATTTATAATTGATTTTTTTGATTTTTTTCATCCTTTAGTCATCTGTGTGGACCCTATCGTTTTGAGGCCAATGCCAATCAGGCTGGTGTGAGTTGGGACAAATGGAAGGTAGATTACTCCTTTAAGATTGCTGAAATGAAAGTGAGGCCAAAACTTGTTTGGACAACAAATGGTTTTAACGAACCAGAAATGGAGCAAAATCCATAAAATATTATTTAAATAAAATATATTTACATATAATCAATAGAAAGCATTATTTAATTTGTTTTTTATTTATTTTGCCCTTCATGGCAGTTCCTTGATTAGATCTTGTAAATTACTCATTTTTTCTTTCTCATTTCAATTAATTTTTTGACTAACAATTAAAAAAAAGACATTTAAATTAGATTTTGTTATCGGCCATATTATATTTGGCTTTGGACAATAAGCCAGTATCACCCATATCTTCATTGTAGCCTGGACGATATTTCATGCCGGGGGCCTGGAACAAAAATGATACAATCAATTATAAAATAAAAAAAAATTTAATTAATTGACTTACATTAAACCAAATATCACGCCACTTCTTGCCACTGTCGGGATCACGCAACAATTCGGGCACATCAAAACGTGGCACATTAAAGTAGTTCATTAAATCGGGTTTGCCACAGGTGTACTGGATGCGAGCCTCACTCCATTCACCCTCATTGTGGAAACGCCAATCTTTCATTTTCTTTTCCGTTGGATCGTTGTCGAAATTCTCGAAATCGATACGTTCAATATCCTCAACAACGACTTCAGTTTCACCACCAGCTGTCCAATCGTAGATCAACAACTCAGCATGGGTGGCAATATCCTTGAGATATTGTTGTTTATAGGTATTCTCCATGTCTTTCAAGTAAGCATCTGTGAAGACGGGAGACTTAACTTCGTAGTCATTGTTGCGGGCCTTGATGCGTTGCTGAAAATGGAAAAAAAAATGTTAATAGAATTAAAATATTGGTCTAATTGAAAAGAAAGAAAGAATTGCAATAAGACAACCACCCGAAAAGACAATTAAAAATTGGTTTGAAAATATGATCGAAATTTCCAAAAGGCCTCATATGGAGGTGCAATTTATTCCATTCCATTGAAATATTAGTTTCATTAAAACGGCTTACAATGTTATCAAAAGCCCTATATTTAGAGCTATCCAAAATGACAATTAAAAATTGATTCGAAACTATGATTGAAATTTTCAAAATGACAAATATGGAGGTGCAATTTATAACTTCCCATTGAAAAGTTATCAAAAACCCTATATTTAGAGATACATGGACTTGTGTAGAAAAAATTGTCTGTTGAAAAATATTCTTAATCTCCCATATCTGAAGGTACCGTCCAATGGGAACCAGCTATGTTTATCACATTTGTTCTTGTTTTGCTCTATGATATTTGAAATGTCAAAATACAAAGCAATCTCAATCAACAATGATCAGAAGTGGATGCTAATATATGAAGTATTTTTAAATGGAGATTCTCGCGGACTATTCTTTGAAAAGAGGTGTTCTCTCCAAAGGGTTGGAAATAATATCTAAAATCTTCATAATAACCCACATATATTAGTGGCGTTCAAGGGGTTCAAAGGGTGAGCAATGTTATCCAATCGTTGAAAAAAGTAGCACTTATCTCACATATTTCCAGCTCTAAATATAGGGCCTCAAACGTGGGCCATTGTCGGCAATTTCTTCCAATGCAGCTATGTATGCTTTGATAACTCGAAATATCGAATTCCGAACAAATCGATTTGAAAATACTATCGGACGCCTCCAAACCTGGTGCAAAGTAAAACAAATCCACTGGGAAATGTGGACAAAATCTCCATATTGCCCTTAACTAAGTGGGTATAAATCTGGCAAACATTTGTGGCATCATGGATGCCAATGTACCACAATTCACTGCTTAAAATATTAAAAAATATTTTACTAAATTGAGAAAAGCCCAATAAATATAGCAGTCCTTATTTTCCGAAGAAATGGGCTTCGCAACTCGAAGGGAATATTAAATATAAAGTCCCTGGATGTTCTACTTTTCCAATATTTTCCCCGGTTCTATCAAAATTGGGTCATAATAATGTTCTCCACTTCGTTCTGTCTGGTTATCTTTAAAATTTTCATAGAATAATTATTAACTTAAGTACCCTTCACATCGCTTCACTAACTCACCTTAACAGCATCAACGGGCAAATCCAAGTAGATCACCAAATGTGGCTTCAACAATTCCGTCAATGTATTACCTCTGATCTCATAGTATACGGAACGTGCTGCCTTCGAGACGTAGCCATGTTTGTACATTGTCTCGAGGAAAACAAAATCGGAATAACAACTGCGATCCAAGACAACACCCTGGCCGGTGGACAAGAGGTGGGCCAATGCATCGACATACTGTTCGAAACGCAATTGATACATTAAAATCTGGAAAGTGGGAGTCAGACGGTGATTGGGCTCCTTGCAGAAGTTGACCACATCAAAGGAACGGCATGACTCGGGTAATTTAGGATCCAATTGACGCAAATCATAGCCATAGGAATTGATATAGAACATGTCCATATTGGCTTCGGGCACATACAACATTTCCAGCTCATCAGCCAATTCTTTGGCGAATTTACTTTTGCCCGCAGCAATGGGACCCTCAACGCAAATGATTTTTGAGTTTTCATTTAAACGTTTTGTGGTCTTGTCGAACATGGCCTGGAATACACCATATTCCTTCTCTTTGTAGGGATATGGTTTGTGTGGCATAACAAGGGGACCGCCGCGCATTGTTTTGCCCGAAATAAAACGTTGCTGCTGTTGGGCCACAGCAACCGGCAGGGCGGCAGGAGTGTTGCGTGAGCAAAGGCGTATCAGGCCCACTCTGAAAACGGCAGTCATCTGGAAAATAAATAAAATGGTTAATAATTTGTTAAATTAAGTAAGAAAATAAAAACAATTTTGATTATTCGCCAAACAAAATGCCAAACGCAACAACGGCTTCTGGCTGGCATGTTACATCACACACTTGCAGAGGCTGTGCTCCGGTAAAAATAAGCACAATGCAAAGCCTTTTCAAGGGAAAACAAGCTGCTTCTTTTCGCGCTTGTTTTCTTTGCAATTCGTAATGCCGTTATTTGGACTAAAAGCCATTGTTGTTTGTTAATTTCCTTGGCAAATTTCCTTTAATTTAACTCACTTTTCCAATTGAAAATGCTCTTCAACTTCGATGACAGAAATGAATTCCACTGACAGCCGTTGTCAAAGTGTTGTTGTTGTTGTTGCTATTTCATGATGTCTTGCCAGCTGATGGCATTTGGTGACCACATGGTTGTAAAAAATCGTACTAGATCAATTGAAACATGACAGAGGGGGAAAGGGTTGCCAAGTTTGGTATTAAAACTCTGCTATCTTGTCGTTTATATAAAAATATGTATTTTTTATAAAAAAGAGAATTATGTAAATAGAGTATATGTACAATTAATTATAAAACATTTAATTTTAGTAAAAACTATGCTGGTGATGTGTCCGTTAGCTTTTGAGATGTTTATTAGAATGGAATGTGCTCTCTTTCTCCCTCTCTTTGTCAATGTTCTTTAATGAAAAATGCGAAAAGGGGTCAGATGAGAATTGGATAGAAGCTAAAACGCGCCAAATCTTTGATGCTATAAAAGGAATGGAAAAAATTGTAACGTCCCCTCCTTGCAATTTTTGAATTAGAAATTACAAAGTGTTAATTGTAGAAAGAAGAAAAAAGCATAGAATTCCATGGAAATATGGAAATTTGTTGCAAATGCCTATTCCGCACAAAACGGCAAGTACAATCAAGCCCAGCTTAAAATCCCTTGATGAAACGGAAATTAACTTGAATTTGAACTGTGGATGAAGGTGACTGACTTGGAAGTTGAAGGAGAAACAACAACTGGAAATAATTTAAGGGTAATAATAACGAGAAATTATTTTGTTGCAGGGAAGATGTTCGTTGTGCTTAATATTCCTTGGGGAAAACGGAAATTAATTTTAATTTGGAGTACTTGTTTAATTTAGAATTTCATAAAATATTGCTTTTTATTGACCCCTGGTTTGGTCCTTAATTATTCGTTAAAATGTACGCGCTACGGTTTATTGCAACCTTGTGCTAGCGCCTTTGACATTTTAACGAGTAATTATTTGTCACTTGTTTTGCCGCCTCCTTTAGACATCAAGTAGTATTTCGCTGTCAATCGGACAGACAACACCGGCAATATCGTTTGCAGCACATATCGTTGTGCATAGTGAGGCATATTGTTGCCAAAGGTAATATCGTTACCACTAACCAAACTAAGAATAAATAGTTTGATTTAATACTAAGAAAAACCCCTTGTGTTTTATTTCTTTTTATATTACCCCCCTACGGTCCATTGCTCGACGCATTCGGCGTTTTACTCCCATCGGCGGAGCCCCTCTGAGCTAAACATTGGTCCTTCGAGCCGGATTTGGATCATCGCTTGCGTATGGATACTTGGATCCTCCATAAATATACAGTCCATTACTCCTGCATTACAAGGTACGTATAGTGCAGTGTTGTTTTTAAGTGAGCTCGCGTTATTAAATTACCGCGACACCAACAAAACAATCGGTTTTGTTTGGGTACAAAGGTCGTTTTACAACGTCACCTTTTTCCCTTTTGTTTTGTTTCCCGCCAATCGTCGGCTTCTAATTTGGATGCTTGTATTCTGCAGCATCAAAACAAAACTCCAAAAGAAAATTATTGCAAAAATCGTTTGCTAATATTCTTTTTGTTTTGGTTCATGTATAACAACAAAACATTAAACATCTCGTTTCGTTGATACCAACAAACACGTCGTCGTTGTTAGTTATTAGTTTGGTGTGCTTTACTACCTAAAGCAAAGACCGCAATATTATTCTTTTTGTTTGGTCTGTCCGCTGTAATATTGCAAATTGTTGTTGTTACATTTATTCTTTTCTCTTGTAACAACAGTCACATTTCAAATCGCAAACAACAACAACACTGTTTAAACCCCCACCGCTGTTTGCTTGCTGTGTAGTCGTTCTCTGATCAGCACTTGTTGTTTGTGCTTTGTTAGATCAGTGAACGAACATAACAAACGAAGGAAGAATATTTTTGTTGATTCCTCTTTCTGTCGTGTCCGTTTAGGTTGAGTAGCTACACTACGTGGGTCGGTCACTTTTGTTTGTTACATTGTTTGTTATAGGACATTGGAAAGTTTAAACTAAAATAAAATAATATAGTTAATTTTATTTTTTGTTGTTGTTTTGGAAATTTAAAAATTAATACAACCTATAGACGGTAATTCTGGCAAATTAAATAAATAAAAATAAAATAGTTATTTTATTTATTTTTGTATTTTCCCCAAATTAGTTCAGTGTTTTTTTGCGATAATTATGGCCTTCGCTCCTCTACAAAATTTCATAAGAGACTCAGACGCTCTGATAGAATTTGGTGCACAAATCGGTGCAATAAAAGGTGACGATTTAGATATTAGTATATTAGAGGAAAGGAAGAGCAAGCTAGAAAAATTATGGCAATCGGTCCATAAATCGTTACGAAACTTAGAGAATTCACAAAATGTCACTAAGGAATCTCTGCATTTGGCAGAGAGTAAATATAACGACTCCATTAACATTTATTCAAGTACAATGGCAACAATTAATAGAAAAATTATCAAATGTCGGTGCATAACAAGAAATTCAAATAAAATTGCGGATAAAAATCAAGAGCAATCGGCTCAATTATTTTTGGCTCCTGAATCGCAGGAAAATATGACCGCAAATATTTCTTCTGGTTGTGATATCGTTCACAATATGGCATTGCCCCCTATTGATATTGATATTTTTGAGGGAGATTTTTCTTCTTGGCCTTCCTTTCGGGATTTGTTTAGTGCCGTATATATAAATAATACCAGGTTGAGTGATGTCGAACGCATGTTCTATTTGCTTAATAAAACTGCTGGAGAAGCTCGGGAAATCGTTTCGCAGTTTCCTCTAACTAACCTTGGTTTCGCTTTCGCATGGAAAGCATTAAATGATGAATACAACAATATTCGATTATTGGTTCATCATCAACTAAAGTCGTTGTATAGTCTTCCAATTCTTCGAAAAGAAACTGCAGCGGGTCTTAAGGAGATCCGACGAGGAATAAATGGTTGCATTTTTTCTATGTCGATCTATAACGTTCCCACAGATCAATGGGATCCGATACTTGTCTTTCTTTGCCTGCAACGCTTGCCGGAAGAAACGACAATGCTATGGGAACAAGGTATTAAAAACAAATCGGCCCTTTCTTCGTGGAAAGATTTAGACACATTTCTTTCAGAAAGGATAAACACGCTTGTGTGTTTGGAAAGTTATCGAGAGAAATCGATTCCTTCGACTGATACAAATTCGTTTAATACCGCTACCAAGTCCAACTCTAAATGTTCGTATTCCCCTTCAATTGGAAAATCATGTTCTCTTTGTCGAGAGAAATGCCATCGACTTCAGTTTTGCTCAAAATTTAAGGAATTATTCCCCGCAAATAGATTTGCATTCGTCAAGCGCCACGAACATTGTATAAATTGTTTGGTAAAGGGACATAAACTAGTAAATTGTACTAGTAAAAATAGTTGTTCGAAATGTGGTCAACGTCATCACACGTTATTACATCGCGAGTCATTAAAACCGAATAGTTCGATTCCGGTTTTGACTCCAAAAGCTCAGGCAAGCTCGTCAAAATCGTTGTTGTCAGCTGCAGCCCCAGTTTTTCGTCCCTCAATATGTACATCCTCCACATGGGTTGGAGTCGAAAATTCAAAATCTAAATTTGTTTGTTTGAAATCGCTAGACAAAATGTCGAAGAAGAACCTGATTAAATTCATAAAAACCAATTTATCAGATGGAAATCATAAAGAGAAATTAAAATCTGTAAACAATGTTGTAAAACGACCTCCGCATGAAATCGGCCTAGCGAATATCCTTTCGGGAAAAAACGTAGCTCGACTGAAGTCCGAATCTGTAACTGCAGGTTCATCTGCGGCTTCAAAGTATTATATTTCGTGTAATAAAATAGCTTGACTGAAGTCCGAATCTGTTACTGCAGATTCATCTGCGGCTTCATGTTATCGTTGTAGCGGAGTTGGATCCCGAATCTGTTACTGCAGATTCATCTGCGTTTCCATTCCCTACATTTTGTTCGAACAAAAAGCTCACACTGCACTATGCATCCCGTACCTATTATTGGAACTAAATTAGATTAAGTTTAATTGTGTTGAAACATGCTTTGATGTTTCAAGGGGGTCGGCATGTTTAATTTAGAATTTCATAAAATATTGCTTTTTATTGACCCCTGGTTTGGTCCTTAATTATTCGTTAAAATGTACGCGCTACGGTTTATTGCAACCTTGTGCTAGCGCCTTTGACATTTTAACGAGTAATTATTTGTCACTTGTTTTGCCGCCTCCTTTAGACATCAAGTAGTATTTCGCTGTCAATCGGACAGACAACACCGGCAATATCGTTTGCAGCACATATCGTTGTGCATAGTGAGGCATATTGTTGCCAAAGGTAATATCGTTACCACTAACCAAACTAAGAATAAATAGTTTGATTTAATACTAAGAAAAACCCCTTGTGTTTTATTTCTTTTTATATTACCCCCCTACGGTCCATTGCTCGACGCATTCGGCGTTTTACTCCCATCGGCGGAGCCCCTCTGAGCTAAACATTGCCGCTTGCCATAGTTTTTAAAACTAAAACCCCCCTATTGTGTTTTTATTCTATTTTGTTTGGTTGAGCTTTGCATCTTTCCCCGCATTGGCGCAAACAGTACTAGTTAAGCATCCCCGCCAGCTTCTGAAGGTAGTTTAAAGATGTATTTGTGCAAAATACGGCAAGTGGTCTCAAGTTCCGTTTAAGATCCATCGAGGATAATTTTGAACAGCGTCGAATGAAACGGAAATATATTTCAAATTGAAAAAAAAAAACATCCCGCCAGCTGGTTGTGGTAAATAGCAAATAGATTTTTTTTGAGTTCATAATATTTTTAATATTTTTAGCTATGAATTTGTTGCAGGATCTTTTCCAATTGGCCAGCGATACCTTACCCTTTTGTAACGAAAAACATTTTGAACCTAAATCTACAAAAGTTTGCTACTTTGTTCTTCAAACAACAAGTGAAATCGATGTTAAGTTCTGCTGAACTATAGTTGGTATAGCACCCACCATGTGAAAGCTAGATTTACGGCCAAATAGGCTATCTTCAAGATATCTAAACTGTAAAAGATCTGCTATGGAGAGGCTATATCTGTAGATCAATTTTTTTTTTTGGGAGGTTAAAC